TATGTCCGTCGCTTTTTAAAAAAATGTTTGACCAACATTTTGACCAAAAAGCGACAGACTAAGAGACTTTGTCCGTCACTTTCTTAAAATATTTGACTAGATATTTTGACCAAGAAGCGATGGACATAAAGATGTTGTCCGTCGATAATTTAAAAAATAATTAAACAATTAAAATTAATAAAAAGCGACGGACGGCGTGACTTTTTTTAAATTAATAAATAATTATTTTTAATAAAAATCGATGGACTGCATCACTATCTATATAAAATAATTAATTAGCAAAAATACGCGAAAAAAACGACGGACTAAGCGATGCCGTCCGTCGCTTTTAAAAGAAAATTAATTTTTTTTTTAATTAAAAAGCGACGGACTAAGAGACGCTGTCCGTCGCTTTTTAAAATTGTTTGACTAGATATTTTGACCAAAAAGCGACGGACTAAGAGATGCCGTCCATCGCTTTTTTAAAAAACTAATTAATAAAATAAAATAAATTAAAACGACGGACAGCGTGGTTATTGTTTAATTTATAAATAATTATTTTAAATAAAAAGCGACGGACTAAGAGATGCAGTCCGTCGCTTTTTGTAAAATAATTTTTAAAATAATTATTTTAATTAAAAAGCGACGGACGGTATCTCTTAGTCCGTCGCTTTTTTGGAGCGACATTGTCCGTCGCTTTTTCTTCCGTCGTTTTTTAGTAATGGTATGTGCCAATTAGGGCATGTGGATGATGTCATTAATATTGGGTATACCACAAATTATTCAAGACTTGCGACTTAATTAGCTGATTACAGCCTGCATATATGCTAGCTCCATGGCTGTTGCTAAATATTAAATTACTTTTTTGTCTCCACTAGTATTTAATTAGAAATTCCAGTGATCAAAGTCATCTCTACAGAATGTACTTACATTTTTTTTTTTCAAATTTAAAGCCATCAACCCAGACTTTCACCTAAAAGTATATCCCCTATGCGTTTATCTGAGAACTCAAATTTTGAACTGTATGAACATAATAACTGTATGTCAAGACAAACTTCATGTAGATACTGTACTCCAATTATAAATTACTTCATCTTAATTTATTATCAAATGGAAAAACATGTAAATTGGAACAAAACAAGCTAATCTTTTTTCTCAAAATTATTAAATGGATACGACAAATCAACGAAGTTTTTTTTTTATCGGAATTTATTTATGTCTTTTAAATATTTTAAGTTATTACTTCCTCGGATTCTTTTTAGTTGTTATGTTGCGCACTTTGAGAGTTAATTTGACTAATTTTCAAAGCTAAATTAGATTATATTAACACAAAAAGTACTATAAATTACAACTTTTTTCATATCAATATGATGAAAATATACATCTTAAAATGTTAGTCAAAATTCATATCGTTTGACTCTCAAAAAGGAAATTATGATAACTTAAAAAGAACGGAGGGAGTAATTATTGTAATTTATACTAAGGAAACATTATGTAGTTTTCAAATATAAAAAAAAATTGTTTCAAAAATATTTTAAGTTTTTATTTTTGAATTTACGGTCAAAGTTCAAAAGTTTGACTCTCAAAATTTTAGTTGTATCCCATAAATTGAGACAAAGAGAATATTAATTACTTGAGACCTTAATATAAACTCTCACCCCATTGTCATTACTTGCTTTCGCAGCGGTTCTATTCTATAGTTGAGTATGAAAAAAGAAACAAACAATATTATATGTTCGATAAGATTGTAGTCTCTACTGTTTTTTTCTTCTTCTTTTAACATGGAGTATCATTTTTATAAATGATCATAGCTTTGAAATATAAGTTGGAGCCTTAGAATCACGGGATATGGTTGTTGCATTATATAACCTAATTACGTTAATTAGTCATGATGTGAAGTATATATATTAGTTTAGTTGTCATATCAACACAAACGATATCTACACCCTTGGGGTCGTTTGGTAGCGGTATAAAACAAGTCTTAGCTTATTCATGTATTAGAGTCTATATAACTTAAACGGTGTTTGATAGATGGATAAGAATTATTCATGTCTATAATTAATACGACGTTTGATAGGTGGATAAGAAAAAAGTTATGCATATATATAATTAATATAACGTTTGGGTGGATAAGAAAAAAGTTATTCATGTATAAATTTAATCCGATGTTTGGTTGACAATTTTGAAATTAGCATAAGAGACGGAAGATATTATAATTACTTAGGACCTTAATATAAACTCTCACCCATTGTCATTATTTTCTTTCATAACGATTCCCTTTTATAGTTGTGTATGAAAAAAGAAAAAAAAAATGGTAGGTTCGATTGGGTTGTGGTCTCTACTGTTTTTTTCTCCTTCCTTCAAACATGGAATATCATTTTTTATAAATGATCATGTAGACATTGAAATTTTGTAGGACTCTATCATACAACTTCTATTTCAGTTAGTGTTCTTGGAAGCTACTTTTTATCTTAAATCCTAGCTTATGTGCCCACACAAGGAGGTATTATATTCCCTTGAAAAGACATCTCGAATATTTCGGAAGTTCATGAAATATTCACAAAAATCAATGGAGATCAAATAAATCTCAAGAAAGTTGACGATTTGTCCTAGTTCAAGAAATACATCATTAAGGATCCTCAAATCACAGAGAAATCTTAAGAGAGAAGAATCAAGCTAATAAACAAATTTGTACCTATAATGTTTATTAATAAAATTATGTTTTTCCATATTTTATTTGTAATTGCAATTTATTCTTTCATTCTAGATTTTTAGCAAACAGTTCAAAGCTTTGAAATATAAGCAGGAGCCTTAATTAGAATCACGGGATGTGGTTGTTGCATTAATTAACCTAATTACGTTAATTACTCCTGCACGTCATGATGTGAAGTATATTAGTTTAGTTGTCATATCAAAGCAAACGATATCTACGTCCAGAGGCGGAGCTAGAATTAGGATTTTAGAGTTCTAAATTATAAAACAAAAAAGAAAGGTGTTCGAACCCACAACAAATGTGTGAAAAGCATTTTCACCGCTCTTCCTTATCACTGGACTATCAATCAATTTTGTTAGGGGTTCACAAGTTAATATACATATATATTTATTTAATTTTTTAATACAAATACAAACTTTACGAAAAAACTTGTGAGTTCGTCCGAACCCACGAACATCACCTAGCTCTGCCTCTGTCTACATCCTAATTGTCTTCTTTTATTATTGTTTTTTGCTTGAGGGTTTGAACTTTGAACTTTTAGATATTCTAAAGTCATAGAATATATGTGCGTGTGAAACCTTTTTTCTCGCTGAGACTAACGATGGAGGTTATTTTTTGTTAATTAGTGGAAAATTAGGAAAAGGGCATTGCATAAAATATATCATGCTGCAGATTCCAGATAAGTCACGGGCATACCTATAGTAGAAGATTCCATTTGCTAGCTAGCAATACTAGAGCTGTAAACAATAAAAATGATTTCCATCTGTGAGAAACTTTTTTATTTCAACAGCACGCAGCATAAGAAAGTGTTTTACAACTTTTGTATGTTCAGTAGGTCAAATATTTTGGAAAACATATATAAAACAAATTTAATAAAAATGAGGAAAACGATTTTCTAATGAAATTAGGAAAAACAAGTTACACTAGTTGTTAATTTACTGAAATAATAGTACAGTGAAATTTGTATGAGGTCAAGAATCTGCATCTTAACTTAACTTATTAGATTTTTATTATTAGCAGTTAATTGTTGCAGTATTAATAAGTAAAAAACGATGTAAAAGTGATCAATAGAGTAGAATAGAAAGTGAGTCATATGAAGCTTAATGCAGATGAGCACTGAATCTGGATCCGGTGTTGCTAGCTTTATCTCCGAGAACGATTCAATGTGTGAATTCAGGATGAATATATTATACAAGTGTGTGAAACCTACTATTTATAGATTATAATGATAAAGTATCAACCAATAAAAAAGCTCCATCGAGCCCTAAAGTACTACTCCCTTTGTCCCAATTTATGTGACACATTTCGCTTAACGGTCGGTAGCTGCTTAGTCTCATCCGAGAGTTTAATCTCCTTACTCCTTACTGCTTTTTTCAAAGAAAAAAAGAAGGGCCACTGCTTTCGGGTGATTGGAGAATAGCTGTAAGGAATACTAAAAGAAAGTATGCAGCGAGGCAAAGCCGTTTGAGAATATGACGGTTAGCCCCAATATGGACCGATAGCGGATGGTCCCCGCCAACTGCTTATCTCTCTTCCTCGCATTCCACTCATGACCTAACGACTATCCCTCTTTCGGGGAGGGGATTATTTGCTGGATCAGTTTAAGTTTGACTGAGAATTTGCTCATGAAATCTTCAATTTTTTAAAAATGAAATTTATATATTTGTAAACTACATAGAAATACAATAAGTCCCAATAATTGATAATTCAAAATATTTAAAAGATATAGGAAAAATTTACGGTCAAAGATAAACTTGTTTGAATCTCGAAATCCGAAATATGTCACATAAATTGGAACAGAGGGAGTAAGAATAATGGAGGCTGTCCATGAGCAAATGTCGTTAGTACATGGCGCCAGCAAATGTCGTTAGTACATGGCGCCAGCCAATGTTCCTCTTGTCGTATTTCAGGCTATTTGCACAAAATTATTTGGCGTACTTATCCATTTTGTGGTTACATCGTGTGGAACTTCATTTTTGGCATATTGGTATACTTTTGTGGCTAGTTTAGTCGCCACAATTTGTATTTTGGGGCGATCTCTTATATTGCCACAAATAACATTCTGCTTAAGTAGTTGTAACAACTTCAAGGTCGCCACTAAAACATGTAATTGTGACTTACTCACTTCACTTCACTTCAATGTAAATATTGTGGTCTAACCTTAGAAGATCCTAAACTATCATTTTGTAATGATTGAGTAAGCTCAAACTACAGAAGCTAAGGTACGTACAGAGTTAAGTCACAAGGTGGAGTTGCACGTTTTTTAATTTTGACCAAAAAAAAGAAAAAACTTAAGAGTAGTCGAACGAAATCCAAAATATAAATATTCTTATTATTATATTATGAAATAGAAAAGACAGTCCATATATATAATAGTAATAAACCTTTTGAGTACAAATGTAAAATGATCAACTGGTTCACGAATCTTGCTTTATAAGTTGATGTTGCAAATTCGCGTATTTACAACAATATAACTATCATAAGACAAGGAAATTCATGATAATGATAAGAGACATATAAGAAAGAGCAGAATGCTTAGCAAGTGAAGCCACTATTATTCATTCCACAGTTGTTGAGAATGAGGCTAAGAGTGAGTGGCACATTCAGATTTATGCCCAGTATGTTTGCTCTTATGGCTGTGCACAAACAAGCTGCCACCTCTAGATTTGCCAGTCCCTGTATCAAACTGCAGCATGGCAAAGTTGGTGGAGACCCCACTACTACATTCACCAAATTAAGTATATTAGCACACACACCAAGTTTCAAAGCATCTCTTGGACACCTTACTTGTCCACCTCCACCTCCACCTCCACCTCCACCTCCACCCCCACTTCCACCTCCACCTCCACTGCCTGAACCACCACCTCCACTGCCCGAACCACCACCTCCACTTCCACCTCCACCTCCACCTCCACCCCCACCTCCACTGCCCGAACCGCCACCTCCACTGCCCGAACCACCACCTCCACTTCCACCTCCACCTCCACTGCCTGAACCGCCACCTCCACTGCCACCGCTACCAGGAGGATGATAAGGACAGAAGGCACAATTAGTATTAGTTGCAGTGACCATGGCGAAGAAAAGGAGATTGAAGGAGAGGAAAAGGGTAAGTAATGAGGCTTTAGTTTTAGAAGCCATGTTATTATGAGGAAGCTAAAGCACACAAACCGTTGCAAAGATGATTGAACAAATGCAATGGCATGCAGGGTATTTATACTGCTACAAGGAATATAATACTCTTTCTATCCTAAATTACACTATTCACTTTTTTAATCAGTTCTAAAAACAATACTCCCTGACATTATTCAAGAGTTAAATAGTTTAAGTTTGATTGAAAATTTGTTCATGAAATCTTTAATTTTTTAAAAATAAAATTTATATATTGTAAACTACGTAAAAATTACTATAAGTCAGAATAATTTAAAATTCAAAATATTTAAAAGATATACGAAAATTTATGAAAAAAAAGTTAAATTAATTTCTAATTAGAGTAAGATGACATTCTTGTTGATACATACTAAAAAGTAAATAGTGACGTATAAAATGAGATGGAGGGTGTAACAATTTGAACTTTGAAATGTTTACTTATTCTTAATAAAATGATTTATAATTATATAAATATTTATAATTTAATTTAGATTACAAATTTTAAAAGTCTTCCTTTTTTTTCAAAGTTTATATTAAATTAAATTTTCCAATATAAATTGAAACAAAGTTTATATTAAATTAAATTTTCTCATATAAATTGAAATATTAAGAATATACGACTTTGTAGGTGAACAATAAAAGTTGCTCTCGTAAAAAGAGTTTTATCATGGAAAGGGAATTATTAGATCAACACTTTTTATGGATCACAGCTTCATAGCTATAGTAATGCCCGTGACGTGGAATCTGTTAGGCTATGGTAGCGCCTTTTCTACTTTTCACTACTTCACAAATTATCCTCCACATTAGGACAACTTCCATGTCTACCTATTTAATGGTAACCCACATTCCTCCTTAGTACATATTTTAACCATAGGTGAATGACTTTAAATAATGGAAGAAAAAGGACAAAAAATGAACTTGGACTATTGTAAAATGTCTAAACATATCTTTGGATTCGTCCACCTATTTTGCTAAGAATATCTATCTAGTTGTCACGACCCGAGCCTACACCCTGGATGTGATCGACACTCGAGAACCATTTCTGGTCCCCAAGCGAACCTTCATCCTGGCTGACTACAAGCGGAAGATTAACTCAAGCATACAAAGCTAAAAATTGAATAAAAATTCATGAAATTCAATTACAAAGCTTAACTCAAATGAAAAACTCTGAATAAAAATAAATTATTCAACTCGCCATAAAATAGGCAACTTAAATCTTTAAAACATTTAACAAAATAAATGAACAAACTTCTTAAACTCTACTGTCTATATATGAAGCCTCTAACTGACAAAGATAGAAGTCGGAACAAGAGCCATGACATCCTGACAAAACTGAAAAGTAAATGAAATCCTCCGGAAACAAGGAGGCTCCCATAGCTATCTCGAACTACATGTGATATCAACGAAGCTCCTGTTGATAATCCTGAATACATGTATCTGCATCATGAAACGATGCAAGCCAAATGGCTCAGTACATGGAATGTACGAGCATGTAAGGGGAATTCAAAAGCATAACATAAGCTTGAACTTGATAAAAAGGAAACATACTTACCTCTTCTCAACTCACTCAACTCAACTCAACTCAAAGAAACATAGTAACTAAACTCAAGGAATACTCAAAACTACTCAAACTTACTCAAACTCAGAAGTACTCAAGGGTAAGATACTCAACTCAGAAATAAGGTTCTCAACTCAGTGAAATGGGGCTCAACTCAACAATAAGGTACTTGACTTAATGAAACACAGTTCAACTCAAGATACTCAAGAACAAAGCAACAATAAAAGATGTAATATATGGAAAGCTTTTAAAACAGTATATATGAACTCAATGTATTGAAGAATACAATAACAACTCAATTTGTATATAATAAAGTAATATAATTCTGTGGGAATTTCTCTAACCGACAACCATCACTATGAGCTATGTGATGATACAACGTCTCACCCACGCTGTCAGAACTGTTATATAACTTGTCGGGATATAGAGCACCTCAACTAAGTAGATCCACTAGTCTATGCTAAAAAGCATTAAAGAATCATCTAAAAAGTATGACCCTTTCTACCCACGTTGGCTACATGGTTTATGGAGACTTGAGTTATCTGAACTTATCCCCATATCGGTGCTCAATAGTAATCCAAAAAATATACTCAGCTCATATGTTTAAAAACATAACTCTTTCTGTGGTTTGAGACTATTACTCAAAAACTAGCTTAAAAGCTCTCTTGGAAATCGGTGTTTCCTCTCTTGTTTAAATTTGAAAACATTTTACTCTTGGTAAATATAAATGTAACAATCACAAGTGGTTCTCTCATGGAACCCACACCCAAGCGGTTAGTGTATCGGAACGTAACACCCAATCCAATATACATGTGTTGAAATGTGACACCCGGTCCAATATATGTGTCGGAACGTGACACCCGATCCAATATATGTGTCGAAACGTGACACCCGATCCAGTCAGCACAACCACAGTCACAATCACACCCATAATGAACAGTGATCATAATCATACAATCAAGTAATAGGTTATGTAACATCTCACATTTGAAAGAACTAGAAAGAGCTAGAATTAGAAAGAGTGATTTTTGGAAATAATAAAAATCTAGAAAATTGGCTAAGTTAAGTTTGAGTTTTTGGTCAACTTCAAATGACCATAACTCCTAGCTCAGGATGAGTTAGGTGTGTTTCCAGATATCGTAGGAAATATCTTGGAATAATCTTTCTAACGCCGCTGAGTTTGTGCGATTCCGAGTTTGTATGAGTGAGTTATGCCTATTGGAAGTTGGACTGTTCAAATAAGGAAAGTCCAATCCGGATTTTAGAAGGGCATTATGGTCTTTTCACCACCCAATTAAGCTAATTCGTTTTTAGCAATTAAATTGGGATCTAAACTGAATTGGTTCAGTTTAGACGATTGGAAATTTATGCTAGAGTTTTTAGAGAAAGAATGCAAGAGGAGAAAGAGCAAAGTTCGTCGTTCTTGAAGGTTTAGCTTGTGGATTTCGACAAAGGGTTGATCCCTAAAGAGGTATGTGAGTCTTTCATAGCGTTGGGTTCGTTCACCCACGCACCAAGCATGTTTATTTCAGTGAAGTTTGTTCTAGAAAGTTGAAAGTTGATGAATCTTGAATGGTGTTCTTTAAATTGGCCTTCGTTCTTGAGTTAGGTTGAGATTGAGGAGTTCCTTGAGGTTAAAATGTTGTTTCCTTGAGTTGTTTGAATTAGATTCTTGTGTATACATACTGGTTATCTGAATCTAAAGGAAGTTTGAGAAAAAGAACCGAGTTTAGGCGAATTGGGGTTAGAAAATGAAGAAGGAACAAGTCGGGCAGAAACTGTGTACCAGGTCCGCGTCGCGGACCTGTTCCTCAGAAATGTAATTTTTCCCTTGGCATCGCGGCGAGGACACAAACCTCTCTGCCTCAAAAAGTATTTTTGCGACCAAAATTTAAATACACCTCCGCGTCGCGGACCCATCATCAGACAATGATTTTTTTTAATCTTTTCTCATGTTTAACTATCTAAAATCACTCCTAAACATCATGAGATCTTTCCTATCACAAATCTCAATCCTTGAATCCATAGTTCAATTCAAGGATCAATTAAGAGTCAAGTCAAGAGTAGTCAAGAGTCAAGTTAAGAGAAGTTCATAAAGTTTTCCAAAAGTCTTTTACAACTGTTTTAACTTTGTTGTAAGACTTGGTTTTGAGTTGAGTAAAGAGTAAAGTTTGAAGTGCATTTCTTCAAAAGAGTATATCGGGACTATGTATTCCCAAAGAGTAAATGTTTTCACATTTAAACAAGAAAGGAAAGTGAGATTTCCAAAAGAGTCTTTGAGCTAGTTTTCAGTAAAGAGTAAGAGTAAAGTTCATTCTTCAAAGATTATTCGGGAACTAAGTACTCCCAGGAGTTAAATTGTTTTCGCATTTGAGCAAGAAAGGAAATTGAGATTTCCAAGAGAGCTTTTAAGCTAAGTTTTTGAGTAATTATCTCAAACCAAAGAAAGAGTTTTGTTTTTACAAACATATGAGCTAAAGTATATTTTGGGAGTAGTATTGACCACCGATATGGGGACGAGCTTGAGTTCAGATAACTACGTCTCCAAAAACCATGTAGCCTTCATGGGTAGTAAAGGATCATACTTTTTAGATGACTCCTTTAGATGCTTTACCATAGACTAGTGGATCCACTTAGTTAAGTGTTCTATATGACGACAAAGTATAGGACAGTTCTGGCAGCGTGGGCAAGACGTTGTATCACCACTTAGGCTCATAGTGATGATTCTCGGTTAGAGAAACTCCCACAGAAACTATATTACTTTATTATATGAGTAAAGTTGAGTTTGTTATTGCATTTTCTTTAACGAACTAAGTTGTTTTCTACTGTTTTAAAGGATTTATATATATTACATGTGTTTTATTGCTTTATATTGAGTTAAGTTATTCAGGAGTTGAGTAAAGACAAGGTAAGTGTTTCTTTCAGATCTTTTTCAAGCTTAAGTTGTGTTTAGCATTCCAACTCGCATACTTGTACATTCAATGTACTGATGCCAGTTGGCCTGCATCGTCTTATGATGCAGACGTAGGTAACTAGGATCAGCATCCAGCGCCTCGTTGATCCAGTTGAGCACTTAGAGTCAGTTGGTGAGCCTCCTAGCATTTCGGAGGATCCTTTTTTATTTCTTTCATTATTTTTGTTCATTAGAATGTCGTGGGTCTTGTCCCGACGTCCATATAAGTTGTTTAGAGGCTTCATAGGTAGAGTTAGTGATGTTAGTTCATGAGTCTTTACTATTCATTTTCAGTTAAGTTGAGACTTGAGTTGCCACTTTGGCAGTGAATGTTATTATAATACATTCTAAGTTATATTTTGAGCAGTTCAGGTTACTTGTTTTAAAAGTGTTTTTGTTTTAAAAGTGTTTATCTTGAGTAAAGTCTTCCGCTGAGTAAGTAAGCCAGGCCAAGGGTTCGCTTGGGGCCAGTAATGGTTCTCGAGTGTCGATCACGTCTA